TCAGTAGCAGAACAGTTTTGCAAAAAGGTTTTCGAAAGTACAGCTAATCCAAACTTTTGGAAGCAGCAGAAGGAAGGAGAAGTCTAAAAAAGTCCGCAATGAACTTCTCGACTATCGTGTTCCGCTGACAAACGAAGACGGAACTCGCAATTTCCAACAAAAAATGGAAGCGATCACGAAGGCCCGTAGTAAAGTCCCCTCAGCAGAGATCACCTGAAGACAGGGACAGGTGAACTCACTCCAAGGCAGGCAAGGTACGAGGGAATAATTGATTGGAAAGATCCCCTGCGCAATAAACTTTTACAACCTCGTCATGTCATGTATTAATAGTGGTCGCGATGGCCGCCACTGAGTAGTTGACCATGGTTCTAAACCACTCAATGGTAAGCTTTTTTGCCAATGTATAGGAGCCACATGAAGGATCATATTTGCACCGTAAAGTTGTAGACAGAACGGTTTAACCAAATCATTGATTAGGAGCGAATCTTGGGTAAATCAGTAGCAAAAGTGTGCACTTTTGGGTCGGTGATGCTCCACATTTGCCGCAAAATATCGTCAGAGGAGGTCATAAATTGGCTCCGAGCAACTTGCGAGTTTCCCTGACGGACTCTCGTAAAACACACACTGTTTCCTTTGTATGACCTATAAGAAGAACCTCTCTTTAGGAGCTCAATTTATCTCATCGCAGAACCTCGTATGACCGTGATCCCTCCGTGGATTTCGTATCCTTACACTGTGGTGAAGGGATCGTGATCATGTGAACTTGGTGGAGTTGGACTAGCCCCGTCAGGTCAGATCATCTCACCTGGCGGGACTTTACTTCGGGCCGAAGATATTCTACACCAATCTCTTTCTCTCGTCAACAACCGTGTCAAATCCCATTATTCTCACTGGAGATATACGCCACGGATTTTACCTGCTGAAGTTGCGCCGCAATCCAGAGCATGAAGGCAGCCACGGCTCCGGGACCGGGCCATGTTTCGGTCGACTTCTTACAAGCTGGAGGATATTGCCTAGAAAGGATACTTGCGGAACATCTAACGTACTACCTTCAAAAGGAAAGGATCTCCGACCAGTGGAACACAACTCATCTTCATATGAAGGAGGATAGGGAGGATCTTTGGACTACCGTCCGATATGCCTACTAAGCGTGCTTTTAAGCTC